TCCCCCTTCCCCGCCTCCCGCCTTTTCTCTTCTACGCTTCCTTCTCCTTCTTCTTCAGCAAGATATTCCCTGTCCTTTTTTTTTTTTTTTTCAAAGAAAATTAAAAGGGTGACGGCCTTGAGAAATCATCATTTTAACTGACCGGCCCCAGGTAATTTAGAATCTGAGTGCATCTGGATTCGAACTTGGGTCTGTATTTCAACAGCTCATGGGTGTACCAACTGGGCTAGGTCTGTTGGTATTCCTTGTTCTTTGCTTGGGAGAAGATGCGATTTCCGTTTTTTTCGTCTCGTTAATCCCGAAGAAATCACCCCCCACCCCTCTCCCCCCCTCAAAAAAAAAAAAAGTAAAAAAGAAGAAGAAGAAGAAGAAGAAGAAGAAGATAAATCACCCCTGTCAGCAGCATCCACCTGCACCTGGGAGTTGACGCGATACATATCATGCAACTGGCCGGGTGCACGATCGGGGACATTCTGGCAGGCGGTGCGGGGTTGGAATTCTGAATTTGTTATTTTTGTACTTAATAATAAATATGGACAATCCTGTCCTATTTTAAGCTTTTTCCCTTTTTTTTTTTTTCCTTACTATTATGAATCCTGCCTATATTTACTTTGAAGGTGTGCTGTATACCTTTATGGGCCTTTTGGCTAAAAATAGATCAAGTGCACTGTATCTGTTCTGATCAGTTTAATATCTGATCCGTGGTCCCAAAAAAAAAAAAAGAAAAAAAAAAAAAGGGCAATTTGTCTGGCGCCCCTGTATTTTCCATTTATTTGCGTCGCGCCCCTTTGACATGCGAAATACCCTGCCGCGCCCCTCTGACCAGTAGTGAAATGTTTCATAAACCCCTGGCGTCGTTTGGGCCTCACATGTTTTCGTAGTGCCCCTACCGGTACCCACAGCAAATTTGTGTCATGCCCCTACCGGATAGCCGTTGGGGAAATTTCCGATATGCCTTTCCGATATGCCCCTACCGGTACCATCGATCTTTTCACTGTGCCCCTGTCGCCGTTGGAGGCACTCAGGGGAATTTCCACCCGGCCTGGGAGAGCTACGGGGGCATGACAGAAATTTGTGAGTGTCCCCATGTTTCTTCCATGCCCTTGCTTGTGTGCAACGACACCCGGACACTCTGGCTGCGTAATTTCACGCGTCCTGCAGCCTCCCTGCGATGCACATTATCTGTGTCGATAGGCTCTCTCTCTCTCTCTCACACACACACACACACACACACACACACACACACACACA